ATGATTATTCGCTCCAAATTATTTTATTAAAAAAGTTGGGGCCTGATTCATACATTCGCAATATTTCACGGCAAAATCTAACCCTCGACAGGTAATCTCTCTTTTGTAGAGCCTGAACACGTTGAATGTGGTAGGGATGGTATTAAAGCTTTGTGAACTATAGTTTTTGGTATTCCAGTCCGTCTTTCCATCATTCTCCCCGAAGTCGATGGACCTAGTTCCACTAACACAACTTTAACATCTACCGTTGCAGGACGTCCTGTCTCGCCGCCACGCCTTCCAGGTATGCGACCTTAAAAAAGTGAAAAATGATAATTAACAAGCAAGCAAACAAGAAAGGTGTAAAAATCACTTACCTTCATATATTTCTCTATGGGTCCGGGCGAATACTTCACGACCCGGATGTCGACGATTGGGGTATCGCTCTGCATAGAGTCTTTGAGCAGCTCTGGCATTACAGCAAGCTTCACCGTAAATTAGGTGAATATCCGCATATTCATGCGACGTATACTGCGTGTTCTCTGTCATAGTATTAATAACACAATGTTCGAAGGGTCCAATTTCACAAAATCCACTTTAACTAATTCCGGTAAGTAACACAAAATAATGTCAGGAGCAGGTAATAATGTAACTTTGTACTATTTAGCATATCATTTGACGGTAACAAGAGCAAATTCAATTTAAATCTATTAAATACATTCTAGCGTGTCTCAGTCCTTTACCCACAAAAGCGGCTATAACTTTTTTTTTCTATTCAAAACAGTAAGTGTGACACCTTCCTGAAATCTTTATTAAATGAGCAATTTTTTTATGTAATGTAAAGTTATAGCTCAGTACATTTTTTTTCACCCGAGATAGTCAAAGTTGGGGAAGAAAATATCAAAAAGTTAAAAATCCAGAAATAGTCCTAATTTTATGATGGTTCCTTAATATATTTTAACTACATTGCATTTGAGTATGGAGAGGCAACAATCTGGAAGTATTTTACATAAAAAATTTACTAAGTTTTGCCCGGTTTGTAGTTGCAGTTAAAGAAAACACATGAAAAGGCACGATTTTTTTTAAATTCGAAAAAATGTAAATATTTCAAAAACGGTGACACTTTTACCTGAACATTTTTTGTTTAACAGGTAGCTCATCCATCCACCTACCTTCCTCTAAAGTTTGGCACGTTACTTCTGGGACACCCTGTATATATTTTGAGTTATGTCTTCGAAATGTCACTGTCGAGGTGTGAACTTTCATCTGCTTCATCAGTCGCAACTCGAGGGTACCTATGAACATTTTTTCGTACAGATTCTGCTTGATATAATATGGAATTTGACATTGTTGCAAGGTTGTGTAAAGTCTAGCTTAAGCAGTATCTAAAAGTAGGAATCATTAAGAGTCTCACAAAAAAATTTTAAGAAAAGTGCATGACAGTACATTGTTTATATTGTCCAAAAAAAGTCGACTCTGTTCATATTTTTTTACGAAAAAACGCCTAATTGACACATTACTGTAGCTACATCCGTCATAACATATTAATTGTTTTTATACCCGAGCGCACTTGTGCACAAGGGTATTATAACTTTCTTCACATAACGGTTGTTTGTAACAGGCAAAACGAATCGAGATAGATATAGACAAATGTATACATAAATGATCAGAATGAAAAGAGAAATCGATTAAGCGGTGACTGTCTGTCCGTCCGTCTGTGCACACGATAACTCGAGTAAAAATTGAGATATCTTAACGAAACTTGGTACGTGCACTTCCTTCGGGCGTAGGACGGTTGGTATTGAAAATGGGCAAAATCGGACAATAACCACGCCTACTTCCCATATAACGGTAATTTTCAGAAATACGAAAACTGCGATATTTTAGTAACTACTGAAGATTATTCACTCAAAATTGATATTTACAATAATTTTTAGACGAAAAATAAGAATATTATACATTTTTGGAAAATGGGCGTAGCCACGCCCACTTATGGATACATGTGTATATCTTGGTAACAGTTGAACCAATATCTTCCATACTTGGCACAGTTGTTAGTCTTGCTACAGCATACCAAATGGCCGAAAATTTTTAAAATCGGACAATAACCACGCCTACCTCCCATATAACGGTAATTTGGAGAAATACGAAATCTACGATAAATAAACAAATATTAAAGCTAATTTACTCAAAATTGATGCTTGCAACAATTCTTTGCCAAGAAATACGCTTATGATAAAATTTTGGAAAATGGGCGTGGCACCGCCCACTTATGATCACATATATGTATCTCGGTAACCGTTCTACGAATTTGTACCAAACTCGGTATGATTATTGTGCTTGCCACATTGAAGCAAAACGTTGAAAGTTATTGGAATCAGATTAAAATTACGACCACTTTTCATATAACGGCAAATTTCAGAAAAGCTTGAAACTTCAATATTTCGACATTTAAGGACGCTAATTTACTCAAAATTGATACACACCGGCTTACCGTGTTGCGGTAGCTTTCGCAAAGGTGAAAATCATATACTTAGTACCTGCGCCGGGTACTTAATGTTCGGCTCCGCCCGAACTTAGACTTTCTTTCTTGTTATTTCATAAAAAAGACCAACATTTTGTATGTTCAATACAGTCTTTTCAGCGTTCTGGCATACCACTGTGATAAATAATGTCCATTTGATTTGTGTAATTTTTAGAAAACAAAGATTCAAAAGATCAAGTTTTACCTACAAAAACTACTAAAAAGGGCTTTAAAACCACAGGATAATTTTTTCTGTGTAATTGGGCATTTCTTAACAGGTTGGAATTATCAAAACTTCAAAATTCCACTTCGATTTTTTTCCGGCTAATGTCGTCATATGGCCCATTGTGGAGCGTGCACGAAATTGAGCCTTTAAGGCGGTCGCGTAGTTGTACTAAGTCTGTCCAGTCTCTTTGCATAATTGTAGTTTATGTAGTTTATTCCATGTTTAGTATAGCACGATCCGGCTCGAAGGACTAGCTTTTGTTGATGAATAAAACGAAAAATTAATTTTAACAAAACCATTAAAGAAAAAATTAGTAAAAGCAGGGCTGCCGCGTAGTCCAGTTTGTCAAGAAAATCTTTTAAGCGTTAGTGTTACCGCATCCATCATTTTACAACAAGATTTAGGAATAGAAACAACATATTTTTATAGTTTATAATGTTAATGAATATGTCGTGCATTCTATTCCGGAACAGTATTTACATAGCAAAAAACTTGAAAGTTAGGGGCGCCGAAAATATTAAGCGAGCATTTTCTGGTACTATTATTGAATATATAGGACAAAATGTGGCCCCTACCTGGATACGCCCATGTATGTAATCATAAAAAATAATAAACTGAAAGCTTTTACCTGGCCAGACGATATGGGGGCATGAATTGGTATATACACGTTGGTGCCCCTACAAGAGTTAATCATGAAATGGGAGAAAACACTGTATAAAAGAAGAGGCTTATAAAAATAAGTCTGCATGCTGAGCGTTATAAAACCATTTTACAATATGTACATCAGCAAAACAAATGTTCTTCACACTTAGAGTTTTGTGTTATTAGGGTAATGTCAGCTGTGGAATGAATACCAATGTTTGGGTCCATGCCTTTAAAAATGTATTTCAAGTTGAGACATTCAATCATTTCCTAGCGTTTTCTCATTGTTTGGAGATTCATTTTATTTTTTCCGTTGAGATTTGGTTTAACTTAACACACGTGCATACTTATAAATCATCTTTTATATTCCAGCCAGCTCGTTTGATCTCCCCCGCAAGTGTTCTTCGGCGTCGGCGAGGAAATAGTTTTGAAATCGCCACTCTTCTTTGCAGTTTGCTAATTGGCGCTGGATACCCGGCTATGGTAGCATCTGGAGTTGCACGTGCAAATACAGTTTTAAACGATCAACGCCATATACTCTTCCCACATCAGATAAAGGACATAAAAACGGAAGAGGAGGAGAAGTCCAAAAGTGCAGCGGGTGAGAAATATAAACTGCGTACAATTCCTGATTTTGAAAGTCACCTAGAAGAAAACATGGCAGGTATGATGAAACTAAAAGAAGACTATGAAAGACGCGTTCGCGAGGAAGCAGAACGGGTGGAATTGGAGGTATTAAACTGGTTTTAAATGAATTTTATTTTTTTAATATTCAGTATAAACTTAATTAGGAAATGGAATTGATTGCTGTGGATAAATACCATTTTAGACGGTCTCATGCATGGGTTATTATTGTCGATAATGCTCCATGGAGTATTAAACCAAAGAAAACATATATAAACGATGAAGGCGATGAAGTGGCTGAGCCACCTAAGGTGCGGTTTATTGAACCGTCAACTGGCTTCATTTGTGAAACTTATTGCAAGCAGTATATAATTATTGATAGCGTGTGGGATCATCAAAATTATTATGTTAATATGCAAAAGTATCAGAGGGTGACTGAAATACGTTGGAACTTACAAGATAACAATGACTGGCAGCATTTATTGCCAGGAGAGCCTCCTGAAATGCGTATATATCCTGCGGGATCTAAGGAAAACATAACAGAAAGCGTACGTACATTGAGGGAAGAAAAGCATTTAGACACCATTCTATCATGGGTTATTAAACTACATATTGGACTTAAGGAATTTGAAGAAAGATTCCCCAATTTAGAAAAAACTATAGAATACGCTGGAGCCATTCATAACCGCTTTTCACCTTACTCACAACGCGATGGCAAAGCTGAGCAATTAACATTGTATGACGATGGTGACAATAAAAAGCCAAGTATACGTTGGGAATATTATGAAAATAGGGTGGACTTGCTGCAACAAATAAAATATTTTTTTAACACTGGGAAAATAGAGGAAACGTTTTTTAAAGGACGGAGCGATAGTCTTCGGTGTAAGTATTATGCAAACATAAAATGAACACGGTTAAATCCAGATTTAAAGGACTCTTATACAACGAAGATTAAAAGTTGAAAGATGTCTATGAAGAATACCTATTAAAATATGTATACATACACTTTACTAAACAAAATATTTTTTTTGCTCATCTCTGGTTAAGTTGTCCGTTTCTACTAAAATCGAAGTAGACTAATGTGTAAACCAAAACACATAAATATGTACATATGTACAATGTACATATGTACATTGTACATACATACAGCGTTGCCAGGAGTCCTATTTTTGACCAGACAGTCCGGTGTTTTGCCTGCAAATTTATGAAATTGGACGTAGGAGGGTTATTTTGCAATAGATTGGTGTCAAGCGTATTGATGTGTTGAGTCGAAAGCAAAGCCGGCCACACAAATACTAAAGCATCTGCATAAGTGTGCGTGTCACGCGTGTGAGAACCCTGCAGTAAAATTTAGAGACAGTGGCTGACTTCCAAAACATATATCAATACAATGTTTGGATACTGTTATACTGCGGTATATAAACTGTTTGCATATGCAGAGTTGCGACACATTGCAACCATATACATTGCAAACTTTAAATATTCAATATAGCAATGAACAATTTTTCTGAATTTTCCATTTCTAAAACACCAATGCTAACCAATAAGAAACTAAGCATCAACTTTGTTTCTATTGCGCTGATTTCTCGACCGCCACCTTTCGATATTTCTTCGGCTGCGTTTTTGAACAGTATACATTGTCAATATTTTTTAGTTCGACGTTATGGAACCTTATACTTTGTACGTATGCAAAGCAATTGACTTTTAGAAGTCAGCTAGTCTTGCAAAGTGCTAGTTCCGAACTACATATTTCAGAACTATCTCCGAACTACTGCCAAAAGGCTGGAGAGCGGGACAGTTGAAACTTGCGGTGTAAATGTACAAATTCTCACTTCTCGTACAATACGAAAGTAGCTCAGCGAGAAGACTTTCGATTCAAGCATTGTTGGTCGCGAGCAGTGATGCCAGATATTCTCTGTTTAATTACCCAAGAAAATCGGGGGGAAAATCCCACAATTACCCACATCTTAAAAATTTATCGCTGCGCACCACTGATTTAAGTAGTAAAAAAGTAACATTCATGTTACCTTAATATACGTATGTTTATATATAATATTCTTTCGAAATTCAGTGGTCGGTAGATTACTCACTAAAGGTCTAAAATAATTTAAAAACATCTACTACTGTCATAAATTAGCTTCTTCTCCTTCTTTTTTGGCGCTGTAACCGCCAAAGCGATTTTGACCGAGTTCAGCAAAGCACGCCAGTCGTTTCTCTTCTGTGCCAACTGACGCCAATTGGAAGCGCCAAGTGAATCCAAGTCCTCCTCCACCTGATCTTTCCATCGCAGTGGGGGCCTCCCTCTTCCTCTGCTAACACCAGCGGGTTCCGAGTTGAATATTTTCAAAGCTTGAGCATCGGTGTCCATTCGAACGAAATGGCCAAGCCAGCGGAGCCGCTATATTTTAATCCGCTGCACTATGTCCATGTCGTTGTAAAGCTCGTACAGCTCATCGTTCCACCGTCTGCGGTACTCGCCGTCACCAACGCGCAAAGGCCCGTAAATCTTCCGCAAAATCTTTCTCTCGAACACTCCAAGAGCCGCCTCATCGGATGTTGTCATTGTCCATGCTTCTGCGCCATATACCATCACGGGCATGATGAGTGACTTATAGAGCGTGGGTTTGGTACGTCGAGAGAGAACTTTACTCCTTAATTGCCTACTCAGTCCAAAGTAGCACTTGTTGGCAAGAGTGATTCTGCGTTGGATTTCAATGCTGACATTATTATCGGAGTTATTGCTGGTTCCCCAGTAAACGAAATTCTCTACTTCCTCGAAATTGTAACTGTCGACAGTAACGTGGGTGCCAAGGCGCGAATGTGCTGACTCTATGTTTGATGACAGAAGATACTTCGTCTTGTCCTCGTTTACCACCAGACCCATTCGCTTTGCTTCCCTATCCAACTTGGAAAAGGCAGAACACACTTCGCGGTTTTTGTAACCGATGATGTCGATGTCATAGGCATAATCCAGCAATTGCACGTTCTTGTAGTAAATTCTTTCTGAGCGGTTCAGTTCTGGAGCTCTTATTATCTACTCCAGCATCAGATTAAAGAAGTCACATAAAAGGTAGTCGACCTGTCTGAAACCCCGTTTTGTGGCGAATGGCTCGGAGAGGTCTTTTCCAATTCTGACGGAGCTGGTGGTATTGCTCAACGTCATTTTACACAGCCGTATGAGTTTTGAGGGGATGCCAAATTCAGACATAGCGGCGTATAGGCAACTCCTTTTTGTGCTTTTAAAAGCAGCTTTAAAGTCGACAAATAGGTGGTGAGTGTCGAACCTTTTCTCGCGGGTCTTTTCCAAGATTTGGCGTATTGTGAATACCTAGTCTATGATAGATTTTCCAGGTCTAAAGCCACACTGATAAGGCGCATTGACGGTGGACTTCAGTCTTTCACACAATGCGCTCGATAAAACCTTGTAACCTATGCTTAGAAGGCTGATCCTGCGGTAGTTGGCGCGAATGGGGGGGTTACATTTCTTGTGGGTTGGGCAGAGTAAACTTAAACTCAAGGCGTCGGGCATGCGTTCATCTGACCATATTCTGCACAAGAGTTGATGCGTGCACCTTATCAACTCCTCGCCGCCGTACTTGAATAGCTTAGCTGGCAGGCTGTTCGTTATTGCTATACGTACCTCGTCATTGTCAGGCCGTGGAACGTCGACTGCGTCATCATCGACTGCGGGTTCGGGTTCTTCTTCTCCACAGCTTTCCGTGCTGCTACCCTTTAGTAGGGCTGAAAAGATTTCCCTCCATAACTTAAGTACGGTCTGGTCTTTAAAACCTCAGTAAGTCGCCTAAATCTCTGGTAAAATTTTCGAGCATTCTTCCTGTCGGCCAGCATTTCAAGCTCTTCGCACTCACGTATTTCGGCCTCTCTCTTCTTATTTCGGCAAATACGTCTCGCTTTCCTCTTCAGATCCCTATAGCGGTCCCACATAGCGCGCGTTGCGCCCGATCGCAGCGTGGCCCTGTAGGCGGCATCTTTTTTCTCTGCAGCTTCCTGACATTGCTCATCGTACCAGTTGTTCTTTAGGGCTCACTGAAATCCGACTACTTGTTCGGCGGCGGTACTTAATGAACGGGAAATGTGGTTCTACTGCTCGCATATGTCGGTTTGTTGAAGGGTGCTCTCTGAGAACAGGTGTGAGGGTTGAGTAGCAGATTGCAGCTTTTCGAAGTTAAGCTTTCCTTGCATATTTGGGCGCACAACAAGATAGTGGTCCGAGTCGATGTTGGGTCTCGTATGTCTAAAACACTGGAAGCGTGCCTTCCTTCTATCACAACATGATCTATTTGGTTTCTCGTTTTTCGATCCGGAGACAGCCACGTAGCTTGATGGATCTTTTTATGCTTGAACCTAGTAATGCATAGTACCATGTTTCGGGCCCCGGCGAAGTCGATCAGCCTCAATCCGTTGTCGGACGATTCGTCGTGGAGGCTGAATTTTCCGACGGTGGTTGCAAAGATCCCTTCCTTGCCCACCCTGGCCTTGAAGTCGCCAAGCACGATTTTGATATCATGACGGGGGCAGCGCTCGTACGTGCGCTCCAAGCGCTCATAGAATCTTGGATGCCTCATCCATCTCTTCCGTCGGGGTATGTGCGCAGATGAGCAAGATGTTAAAGAATCTCGCTTTGATGCGGATTGTGGCTAGACGCTCGTCCACCGGGGTGAACGACAGTACTCGGCGACGGAGTCTCTCTCCCACCACAAATCCAACTCCGAATTTGCGCTCCTTTACATGGCAGCTGTAGTAGACATCACCAGGACCCAGACATTGTTTGCCTTGCCCCGTCCAATGCATTTCTTGGATGGCGTTGATGCCAGCTTTTTTCCTTACGAGGACATCAACCAGCCGGGCAGAGGCACCTTCCCCATTAAGGGTCCGGACATTCCAGGTTCATGCCCTCAAATCTTAGTCCTTTAAACGTTTGCCGTGGTCGTCATCATAAGGGGGTCTCATCCGAGGCTTTGCCTTGCTTCTTCACTGGAAGTGGTTTTTACGTGGCGGGTTCCAAACCCAGCGCACAACCCATTGCTGGGAAGGGGGTGGTTTCGCAACCAAATACACGTTTTTATAGCGAGCGGCTTGCTCCAAGCAGACACCCGCTTGCAGCCGCACCTACTGGTGAACAGACGCTGCAGACTTCAGTGAGCCTTTAAACCGAATAAGTCGGAGTTGCTCCACCGAAGCTCCCTCTCTTTCTGCCGTGAACCAAGGCTCCACTCGGATTGGTGCCCCATCTCGCACATGGGTTGCTAACGTTGCCCAGAGTGCGCGAACGAGGACGCAAGAGTCGGGATTGAGTATAGCCATGCAACTGTAATTGCATACCCAGCGCAACGTCTATACCCCATTCCACTGCCATAAATTATCTTCAGTGTTTATTAAAACCCAATATTATGAAGAAACTTTTTTGTGTTTTTATGTTGAATACTTACTGGCAATTCTTAAAACGGTCACTGTTACATTAAATACGTAAGTGTCGAATATTCTTGAATATTGATAAATTATGCATCGATAATGGTGTTAAATGAAAATCCCTTTTTATTTCAAATGTCCCTTTTTTCCCTTTTAATAATTTTTGCTGCAAAATATCCCTCAAATAGGGAAATTATCCACAATCTGTCATCACTGGTCGTGAGTCCAAAACGCGATAGAGGCAGTTGTGAGTTTTTTTAATAAATTATACAACAAACATGGAATCTGTAAAAGAAAAGAAACAACGAAAATAATATCCAAAAATTGTATCTTAAAAACGTGTTTTTATAAAAAAAAAACTGCCCAAAACGGAATCGGTTAAAAACGGGTCGCATAATAATGCACTGGGCGACAATTGCCACGGCCAATGACATCGCCGTGAACAACTGGGC